AATTAAATTAATAATAGGTAAGCTTTAAAATTTAATATTTTAATACGATTATTATGTTTAAAAAAAAAATATTTTGTTCATTATTGGTACTTGGTTATCAAATATAACATATTTTTTATACATAAAGACGTGTAATGTGTATAAATATTGAAATCGCAGATTATATCCAGTCCGTGATTGAAATTCAAGAAAATATGACATAATTATATTCTGCATGGATATGACTTAATTTTAAATTAAATTGCCGGGTTTTATAAAATTTGAAATGACGTATTATGCAATATGGATATTTGAATATTTTACAGCCCACAATTCATAATAAATCATATAATGATCAAAACATGATTTTTATAACTTGATTATAAGATACGTCAATTCTATATAAAATTTAATGCCTTAGATCATGGTGTTAACCATATCGTTAACGAATTAAATAAAAAATTTATCAAAAATTTTAAAATAATTATTTTTATTTACATGCACATTTGGCAACATTGGAAACCTTGAATTTTCATTCTGTTTTGTCTATAAGTTTTAACAATAATTATCTCAGAAGTTTGTAAATTTGTATTTACTATTTACTATTTAGTATTTTAGTGTTTTGTAATTGTAATCAACTGAAGCTCAACTTATTGAGAAATAATTTAATATTTGAACAATTTTGTTATTATTTGTATTCATACATTTAAATGTATGTATTTAAAAGTCTTATGTTTTCAGTTATTAACTTTTTTATAGTTTTAAAGCTAAGTATTATCAAAATATGATTGAATGTATTCATGAAAGAAAGAACAACATGTTTGGCTCTAGTACTAAGCTAGATGTTGATTCTTCTGGTAAGATTTTTTTTTTATTACTAGGTATATACCTACCTATATTATACACCATTAATTACTTATGAAGTAATAAATATTTACCGCTGAAGTTTAAAATATCACGGTATGAACCTATTATTAAGTATATGCATTTACTTAATTTAATAAACAAATATAGACTTTGTGTGTGTAATAATTGTTTGTTCAATTAACATCCACATACAGGTACAATAGTAAATAGGTATTATATATTTATACCATTAAAATGAGAATTTTTTTTTATGTCTGTCAAGAATGTAGAAATTAATTTCTTACGTACTTTTGAATAATAGGAAATTTGGCGCATAGTGCTAGTGTTTCTAGTGACATTTCAAATCGTACCAGAATGGATATAGTATGTATCATTGATGTCGTCCAGTCTAGTAATTTGGCACATCGTAAAAGAGCTTTGGAGGAAGTGAAACAAGCATCTATGATTGTTAATGCTAACTTATTTATTATTTCGGTAATACTTATTATTATTTATAATTTGTTACTCTTACTTCCCTTTTATGGAATCATTTTAACATCATTTTATTTTATTAATAATTGTAGTTTGAGAAATTAGATTTTGGAGAAACTGCGGAGTTGGATACTTTTTATAACGCAGATGTAGCCATTGTTGATTTGTCAATACAATATCAACAAAGCTCATTGTTTTATCATTTGGGTTTACGTGAGAGTTTTGGAATGAAACAAAACATTATGTTATTTAATGATCTAGATACTGAAGTTACATTACGAGTAAAGGTTTGTAATATTTTTTGTACATATTTTAATGAATTCTGTACATTTTTTCATTTTTTCTAGTTGTCATGTGGTTCATATACATTTCTTTCATATAAATTAGCAGATTGTGGAACTTGTCTCACTACCAATACTTCATTTCAAGACGAGAGTGGTGGATCTGCTTTTGAACCTAGAGTACCAGTTACAGTAAAATTAAAAAAGTTGTTACAAGATGTTGAAATTCAGACCAAGTATGATTATTTAATAAWAATCATTATTATAAACAAAATTGTTTTTTACTTGTTACAATAATAATATGTTATTAACCACAAGTTGTTATTTTGGTTTGATATAGAGTTCATATTAAAGAGAAATTTTTATCAGATTTAAGAAAAGCAAGGGATAATTACTCTGGTGAAGAATTACGTAAAAAATTGCTTATAATGAGAAAACGACTAGATGATCCACATGTTCTTTCTGGTGATGTAGTTCATACTATGTTGATATCATTTAGAGATGTACAGGTAGTTAAATAAATTAGCAGATTCAATTATAAATAACTTGTCCAATATTTTAAAATTTAATTTTATATTAGGACTATGATGCAATGGTTCAACTTGTTGAAGATATACAAACTATTCCCAACAAAAAAAATTATGTACAAACACCAGCATTGCGATATTTATATCCTTTTGCTTTAAATAGGTAACTAAAATAAATGTTTAACATTATTATACAATGACTTTATTTAATTTTGTTTATTTGTATTTACAATATTATGATATGTTTAGACGTAACAAACCTGGAGATCGAAAAAAAGCATTGCAAGTWATTGAATTAGCATTGCAAAAGAAAGAAAATCAAATACCTGATATGGTTTGTCTTTGCGGTCGCATTTATAAAGATAAATTTGTTGAATCATCATTTGAAGACAAAGCTGCCCTTGAACATGCTATACATTGGTACCGTAAGGGATTTGAAGTACAACCAAATGAATATGCTGGAATTAATTTAGCCACATTATTACTTGTTGCTGGAAATGAATTTTCCAAGTCTGATGAACTTCAACACATTGGTATGTTAAGATGAATAAATTGGGGAATAAAAATCCTCTGATGAAAAACACGGTATAAAAATTCCTGGAATGTACTTTCCCATACTGCGTTTTTCTAAGAATGCGATTGAATATATATTTTTAAAACTTAGGTTGAACATAACATAAGTATTTGATATTTTTAATTACAAATACACATGGCATAATTCAATATAATATGTTCTATCGTTTAAAATCAAAATCAACTAATCCCAACATTTTATTTAAATTCAATTATTATAAAATAATAATTATCAACCCATAAAATTTATATATTGTCATTAATGATATTTAATTAATCTAGTAACAACAATAATAATAATAATAATAATAATAAGACAATATTAATTTTTTTATAAATGTATTAATAGGTATGGTTTTAAACAATTTGATTGGGAAAAAAGGAAGTTTATCATCTATTAATGAGTACTGGGATGTGGCAACATTTTTTGAAATAAGTGTATTAGCAGAAGACTATAGTAAAGCAATTCAAGCAGCTGAATGTATGTTTAAACTAAAACCATCAATATGGTAAGTTTATTATATTTAGATTGTATACAAATATGTAAGTCTCAATGTACACTATGTTTTAGGTACTTAAAGTCAACAGTAGGAAATATTGAACTAATTGATAAGTTCAGGAAAAAAAGTGAAGAAATTGAATACACACTCGAAAAAGACATCTTTAAGTTTTGGATGGAATATTTTGTAGAGGCCACAAAAACAGAAATTGCCGATAGCATTCGTTTTCCTGTGAGTTAAAAAAAAAATTAAATCTTTAATATTGCCATAAGTTGTAAATACAAATAATTTTGARTTTCAGATTTTAGTTTTAGAACAATTAAAAGTATATATGCCTAGTTATGTTGTGGTGAACCTTGGTGCTGAAGAAAAATCTATCTTCCTATGCAATCAGTGTTTAAAATGTACTAGAAATACTTGTAAACAAGTACATAAGTGGTTGTTTGTTGCTAGTATGATAAGGGGTGTTAGGTATATTTACTTATTTGTTAATKAATTACTTTATAATATTAATAATATTTTTATTTACTTAYAGTTTATGCAAAATCGATGATAGGTGTCTATTTTTATATGTTCATGCGAATTCTGATGATTTTCAAATGTATTTTCCATCTTCTCAATATCGTCAAAGGTTTTATGATCTCGTCAAAAAAATGACAGAAGGTGAAGAAGGGATGATGACTAAYTTAGATGAAGATTCAGCTGAGGAACAAATCAATGTAGATTTTCGTTTTCTATTGTTAATGATAAATATCTCATTATATTAACATTAATTCTTAAATTTGTCGTTTTTCTAGTTTGAATATGAACTGAATGATTCACAGACTAAAAAAATTCTTGGTAAAGGAACTTATGGTATTGTTTATGCAGCTCTTGATCTCAACACACAAGTGCGAATTGCAGTTAAAGAAATACCCGAGAGAAATATAGGGTATTTATTTACTTGACATTAAGAGGATGTCTGCGCATTATTTGTTTTCTCTCTCTGACCCACACGTAACATAGACAAAACGCATTTACGAAGAATCATTTTTTCTATGTCTTTAAGTAATTTTAGAGTAAAACCTTCCATTACAAAAAAGATAAAAAATAATATTTTTGAGGGAATGACATATTGATTTTATATTTTATTATTATTTGACTTAGTATTCCACTTTCAAAATAAATAAATAAATGTTGTAAATTTAAATGATGTTTAAATTGATTTGAGACAATATTTAGACAAATCGATATGTCATTCCCTCAAAAGTATTATTTTCTATCTTTTTTGTAATGGGAGGTTTTACTCTAAAATTACTTCAAGATATAGAAAAAATGATTCTGCGTATATGCGTTTTGTTTATGTTACGAGTGAGCCAGACAGAGAAATCAAATAGTGCGCTGACATCCTCTTAAGAGGACACCATACCCGCATGTGTTGTCTCCGTCGTACAAGTGCGTAGCATAGTAAATTTTACGCTCAGCAGATCACGTTTATCTCCGTTAATTTAAAATTTAGAGTGAATTGACCTATTATAAAAATTAAAGGCAAGATTATTACTGTGGACATCTTATGGGATTTTTATTATATTTTAATTTTAAAGCGAATTATGAGTATTTTAAAATTGTAAATTGTTTTTATATCTAAAAATACTCATAACTTGCTTTAAAATTAAAATATAATAAAAAGCCCATGAGATGTCAACGAAAAATCTTGCCTTTAATTTTTATAATAGGTCAATTCACTCTAAATTTTAAATTAATGGAGATAAACGTGATCTGCTGAGCGTAAAATTTACTATGCTACGCACTTGTACGACGGAGACAACACATGCGGGTGTGGCTTCCTCTTAATTCAAATTTTTGTTAAATGAATATTCAAATTTTTTTAATGTCAGTAAATTATTTTTCAAGTTATGTTCAGCCACTACATGAAGAAATAAAACTTCATTCCCAACTTTATCATCGAAATATTGTTCGGTATCTAGGATCAATATCTGAAGATGGTTTTTTTAAGATAATTATGGAACAAGTACCTGGAGGTTAGTTTCAATATTTAATTTTTTTATAATTCGGGTAAATGTTTAATGAAAAATCATTGGTTTTTAGGAAGTCTTTCTGCTTTGCTACGTTCAAAGTGGGGACCATTAAAAGGAAAYGAGCCTACTATTGCATTTTATACTAAACAAATTCTTGAAGGATTGAAATATTTACATGATCAAAAAATTGTACACCGTGATATTAAAGGTGATAATGTCTTGGTTAATACATATAGTGGCGTAGTAAAAATATCTGATTTTGGAACTTCTAAACGCCTTGCTGGATTGTGTCCTAGTACTGGAACATTCACTGGTACATTGCAGTATATGGCTCCTGAAGTAATAGACAAAGGACAAAGAGAATATGGCGCTCCAGTATGTTAAAGTTATTATTAAAAGTTATATTAATCAAATTGAAAATCTTAATAATTTTGAATTTATGTAGGCTGACATATGGTCATTAGGGTGTACAGTTGTAGAAATGGCAACTGGTGAACCACCATTTACAGAACTCGGATCAGCAGTAGCAGCTGTATTTAAAGTTGGTTTTTATAAAACACATCCAGAAATACCGGTTGAACTCAGTGACCGAGCTAGCAATTTTATACTTAGATGTTTTACTGTTGATCCTGACAAACGAGCTACAGCTACTGATTTATTAGAAGATGTATTTATGAACGAGTATGCTAAATGAATTATATTTATAAATAGATTTTTTATATTTCATAAATTTCTTTTAAATTTCAATACTGGTATAGCCAATTCTTAATTTTATCAATTATAATGTAGAATTTAATGAATTTTACAATTAAATTTAAATATATTAGTTTGTTATCATAATGATAATGTTGGTTTAAGGAAAAAGAAAACATCTAAAGCATTAATAGCGCCTCTTGAGTTCAATCGCAGTGTATCTGTACCAGTAGAAAAAGGCGTAAAAACTACAGTTTCAAGTAATCAAGAAAATATYAACAAAAATCCTAGTAAACAACATTTATTAAAAGAAGACAGGTAATACTATTAAGTTATTTGTATATAATGCTCTGTAATCCAGTTTCAATATTATTTAATTGTATTACTAAATATTAATACTCTAAAATTATTTGAAAGGTTGAGGTTTTAAGCATGTTTTTCTTATAATTTAATGATTGTTTTTAATACCATAGTTTATATTAATCCTTTAATATTTAGTGTTTACCTAAAACTTGATTAACTATAGAAAATATAATTATGAACAAATTAAATACTTATGCATTTATTTCAATTCAATTCAATATTAATATCGTAAATTATTTTATAATGGATTATCTGTATCTGTGCTTTGTTACGCTATGTTGCCGCCCCAGGACAAATTAAAATATGTCATTCTTAATTTTGTATTTTATGTTGATCCTCCAAAATTTGCTGCCCCRGGGCAATTGCCCTCCTTAAACGCGGCTCTGATCTGTTTATTATTATACAAAGGCAATTATTTAATATTTATACTTTTGTTTAAAAACAATTTTGATGTTGTTAACTATTTTTTTAGAATTTTCCCATAAACATGTATACTGTGCGTTATACATGTGTCAAATATTAATTACAGGAATTATATTTATTTATTACAAATTAAATGTTTTGTGATTTAAATGTATATTTGTGGTTTTAGGTATTATGTTTATTTGTTAGTTGATTGAACAATCGATAAATGTGATAAATGACAGTTTTTAAAGTACACGAAAATTTGTTTTTGAGAAATAATCTCTAATACAAATTTACAGGTACATTCAATACAACTAATTGTGAATATATTTTCTATTTTAAACTAGTTTATGTTTGTAATTTTAAAGCATATTATTATAAATGTATTAAAACCTCACATTTATTATCTKGCCTTTGCACTGTTTTTTAAGCAAATATCAATTCTTTAAACAGTTAAATCCTTATTGACTAGCATTAGCAAATAATATGTTAATTAAAATTTGCATTATATAACGTTGCTAATGACAAATGCAAAAAAAAAAATGCTTCAGATTTATGCTACTAATGTGTTACTTAGTGAGGGCGCTTACATTGGAGTGTGTTTGTATACAGCTGGTTAACAATATCCCAACCCGAAAAGATCAAACAAGACCAGTTCCTTTCTTCCATCAGCTTACCAAACATGCAGTACTCTTACAACAGGTATATTTTACTAAATAGTTACAATAAACAAATATAATACTTTAATAATATAATTTACACATCAGAGCATTTAACTATTTAATATTAATAATCTATACAGCACCTGCAAACCGCGGTGTATGTATAATATATTTGACAATCAACTTATATCGATTAATAACACCCYGTGCGATTGCGTTTTTTTTCCTGGTCAAATCCATATATAGTCTCGATGGTCAACAATATAACAGGCGACAGTCTTCGGGTGCGTTGGCGTCGCCTGAAATTGACATGGGCACGGCGGGTAGCACAGCAGAGGCGGAACACGATGGGTTCTACAGGCTGAAAAAAGACTCGCAGCGGAGGACAACGCTGGCCCGAGTGTTGGCCCAAGATCAGGCCACGTTGGGCAAGGTATGGCTTCAGTTTATTCGCCGGGAATTTGGRCAGCCCAAGTTGACCGGTGAGCACCTGGAGGTGTTAATGAAAGGTCTTCGAGATTACATCACAGACCAAAATAGAGACGTCGTTGAGCAGACCATATACAACCTCAAGGAGCAACTGAACTTTGACGCGGTCGCCGTGCACCAGTTGCACATATCATTGTGCTTGTTTAAGGACGCGGTAACTATAATATTTTACATGTATATATCTATATAATCATTACTACTATTGCGAAGGATCATCATTCAGTGACTAGAGAAGTTCCCGCGAGGATATAGACTGTCTTACAATTTTATGTACATATATTATATGTATATGAGCGCTATGGTGCAGGACCGGATGTTATAACCTAGAACTATATAGTGGCCGTAGATATGGCTTTCATATCAAACTATCCATACTTTATCCATAGAAAAAATATCTAGTGTCTTATAATATCAAAATGGCTAAACAAATTTATCATAAAATATTATTCTTTAGTATTATTTAATATAAAAATAAGTATTCCTATTAAAATTTCAAAATTTCATTTCATTGGTTCCACGGGTCCTTAAAATAGCCGAGCTCTGTATTCTAGGTCCAACAATCCTCTCTTGTAGGGACCCTGATTGTTGTAGTCCTGTAGGATATGAAAATGAAATTCAAAGAAAGTTATTTTATAATATTTATAAAAATTATATAAAGTGTCATTCTCTGTGTTTCTGCACGGCTATTATATATAGTCGGTATTCTATAAGTGTTTCATTAAAAGCTTCCACAGCCCACAATAACTTTCAGTTTGGTCCCTACTRTACCTATAATCTATATRGCAACATATTCACTGATACAGCCATGTAGGTTCAATGCTTGTCGTATATTCTCTACCCAATTTATATCTTTATTATTGCGATTTAATGGTAATGAAGATTAACACTCTTTTACTGCATGATATAATTTTTGGTCGTGTATTCAATCATTGGTCTATAATTCAYGGGTTCACACATGGTTTTATATTTTCACGTCACGTTTTTAAATGTTTGCCCAAAGGATTGAAAGATTGTGGCGCCCTTTGAGGCTAAAAATTGTGGAAAATATGTGGGGTACAACTCCAGACTTACTTACAAGGTATAATATAATAATATAGTAACTATTACAGGTATCTCATTGAAATGTAGTGGATAGGTTTGAATAAAAAGTGACGCGTCGATAATATTATATTTATATAGTTATATAATTATTATTTATATTAAATAACATTATTTTWAATAATATATTACTTTATGAGGATTATTTTTGGTCAWTAAATCACTTTTACAATTTTTACATCATCCACTTATTACGAGAATATGATATTRTCGAAAATCGGAAAATATAGTTGTTGAGAGGTAAAAACAGTACAGCGCATACTGCAGTCGTAATGTTTCAGCCCATATAGACACATGCGACAAGATAGCCAAACTTCACTAACTTACACAGTTGTCTCAATGACGTAATACAATTAAGGATGTTATGCGTCTATATATTATGTTCCTATAATTGTTTACGTTATTAATTATTATTAATATTATGTACTGGTAACATTAGTACAAACCACAAATAATGGAGATTATTCTATACCTATGTCTTTGTTTCAGGCCAAGTCTGTATTGCGGCTACACAATATTAAGCCCCATTGGATGTTTACACTCGACACGTTGGTGAGCAGTGCCGTGGATGCCGTCATTTCCGTCCTTAAGCCTGGTATTTATTATGCTTTGACGCACTTAACCTACCTTCCGCCTAGGGGGAAAACTACGAAACTTGAAACTTGGATGTTGAAAATGTCAAAAACATATTTATGTTCCATCTTTAAATATTAAACACCATACTATTTAATATTTATAATACTAGAGCGTTAAAAAATGTCACTGAATAGTTGTATTTTTTTAATGTGTTACTTGTATTCAGAATTCTAGGCCTCTTTCAACTATTATCATGGTGGTCAAATACGAAAATTATAATTTTTATATGATAACAATTAACAATACTTTTCTCTGTTACACTATTACTCTTTTCACTTGGTCCAGACTTGTTATACCCATAGGCGCAAATCACCAAAAAACATTAGGGGGGCTTAAGCACTAAAAATTTTTGAGGAAACAGACCTAACTCGTGAGGGGCTTCGCCCCTCACACACCCCAATAGTACTATGCTATACATTATATAAATAAAAATATAAAATWAAAATYAAACAAACACAATTAAACATTTTATTATTATTATTTATTTATTAAAAATGTAAAGGCAATGTGCGCTTATTTTCAGCAAACTTATTTAAAATTATGTCTTTATCAATGACTAGATCGCTCTCTAAAAATTATTTTAATCTCATTTATTACTATATATTACTCACTGCGGGTCTAATTAAATAAAACTATATACCTGTAGTGTCGTGTTGCGGTCGGTCTGCGTAGATTATAGATACTCYGAATTTTAWTATTTACATACCTATATGTTTAACAATTTATTATTTCCCGTTAATATCATAATTTCACAATTATTATGATATTATATTATAAATAATTAAATAAATATAAAACTGTTTTTGAATTTTTAATAAATGTAATTATTTTGAAAATGTGATGGTAATAGTACTATAAGTTATAATCACGGGATTCGGGGTGCTAGCTAATATCCTCTAGTCTGTATGAACTTTGAYCGACGGTTAACTTTAAAGAAAAAATAGCTTATTGAAATATTACATTTTTTTGTGTACTTRATTATTTCCGTGTTTCGACCTAACGGCTGCGTGTGAGTTGCGACCCGACTTGTCGTTCCCTGTGTTGGAAACYGCTGAATTCCGGCCTAATAATATTTTAGATATAGGTTAGTTACGGCCGAGTAATTATAATTACCTATATATTATATATACCTATTACCCATGTCCCTGGCCAATGCGGTGTTGGATATAKWTAGCGATAAACGAAATGTTCAATACGTATGGGAAGTTATAGGTATTTTTGTATAATATGATAAAGATAATATAGATCGTTWTATCGTATGACTTGCATTGACTTGGATAATCGGATAATTTAAAATGGCAAAATGAAAATTATCAATGCGTATTCAGTCCGAAATCATTGTTCGTATAAGTTTGTTTTGTTTATATAGTAATTTTTAGTATAATAGTGTTATATTATACACTATGGTATTCTTATAACGTTATAACCATCATAGGAGCAATTTCAATAAAAAAAAACTACGGGTGCTTATGCTATACATTTTGTCATTTTAGTTTTTTTTTGAAAGAAGTTTTTGATACATAAGCACGATCATTATTTGAGGGTGCTAATTTTAAAATTGGGGGTGCTAATATCCCCTAAGCTCCCTTCTATTTGCGCCTATGCTTATAAGTTATAATACAAAAAAATTTACGAATACTTTTATTTTTTTACGACAATTAATGTTAGAAAAAAGGTAATATTGTAATGTTTATATACTATATATAGACATATAGTATTTAATATATACATTATTGTATGACCGCAATTCGTACGTACCTCTCATAAACCCTGACSACCTGACCGTAACTCGTATTTTATTTAGGGATTGGGCCGCAACTCACCAACACTGGACCTAACTATGGCCTCTTTGGTCCYTTCGTCGAAGTTTTATATTAGGTTCTTTTTTTGTAGAGTTCGAAGACAACCTGGCGGCAAAAGATACCAAGCTAGATKGTAGCGTCTTGTCCGCCATCACGGACGATACGAAGAACAGCTCACCGTCGTTCGGTTCGTCTATAAAATCTCACAAGACCGACGACAGCTGTTACCTAGACGGGCCGTCAACGAAGAGTAGACGTGCGATTATGTTTCAGTCTGAAAACCACAGGTAATTCGTCTTCCTCGTCTAATTATTCAAATGTAATTAAATACCTACTTATATAAGMTATTCCTTATTAAGTGCCTTGTGCGCAAGGCGCAATTTGTGKTAGTAGCAGTGTAAACTTTTTTCAGTGAAGTGACTATTTAAAATTAGTAGCCACTTACCAGTAGTTGTTCCTCTCTGTAATGTGGTCATTTAGCAGATTGAAAATTATTTTAAACGCATAAAAAAAATATTTCGGGATAAAAGGCCCYCGAAATTAATATGCTCGAGGCCGTGCCCCCTGAACACCCCGTAATCCGTGCTTGGTTGCTTCATAAAGTAGCTATACACGTCACCACTGGGTATGCTATAATAATGGTGTATTTTGTGAAATTACGTCTAAAGTGACGTCATCAATATCATAATATTATACTAGTAATTACGAAACATATGAAAATAATTTTAAAATAACGATTGTTTTTTTTTTTTTGCACGTATAGCTAACATGGGTTATCTGAGGTTTGTATGTTATTTACATGTTATGTACATTTTGTGTGTGTGAGTTTGACCACAATTTTCCTGTTCAAAAGAGTGACACATTTTGCCTTTCTATATATATTTTATATATATACATATAATTAGTGATACCTATTGTATGCAGCCTATGCAGCTATTAAACGCATAATATTTATTAATTATTATGCTAATTCAATTTATTTTTATGTGATATTAGTAYCTATTTAATAGTAAAATAGCATTTGAATACATCTTTTCATAAAATATATTATGCACATATTGTATAGTTATTATTGATGATTGAATAATGTAATGGTTAGTTCTTTGTTATTGTCGTTCAAAACCATAACTTTTATTTTTTATTACACGAGTTACTTAATAAACTTAGTATTTAAAAGTTTCTCGAATTCCCGACAAAAGTGAAACTGCTCATAAAGGGTGACGCAAATCTCAAAACCCGTTCAATTCCTGTAAATGCGGCGTCCTCTTGATATTATTTTAATATATTTTACTGTATATGAAAATTTCGATTTTAATAGATTTCTGGAAGAAGTGTTGGATTGTCAAAACGGTTTACTGAAAAAAATTGTGGAAGATCAAAAAGACCTGATGTCCATGTTGAAATGGACTGCTGAACAGAACGCTGCCATTCGCGACGATTACTGTTGCAGCTCCTGTCGGAATTGTTCTCGAGAGTTCAGAGATTTTGACTATGAAAATAGTGCGGACGGCTGTTCCAAAGATCTAATCAAATGGCTTCGCGACATTGGTATCGACGAACATTCAATAAAAATAGTAAGTTTACAAATAATTAGAATTTTTAGGATCACATAAAGTACTGACATCATTTGTATGCCAAAAGTAAAGCAATGTTGAAATTTAGAATTTTGCATTTGTCTGTATAATACAGTTAATAAATTATTATCCTGAACCATTAGTGAATTTTGTCTCCAATCGTTTTTCTTTTTTAGTTAGTCAACGAACAATTTCTGTTAAACCAAATACAACTTGACGTCACAAGAGAAGATTTAAGAGATCTTGGATTGAAGTGAGTAATACTGCGACTGATTGTAATTAATTGTTCTAACACTGTTAMATTTGTATCGTTTAGACGTGGTATTGAGTTGAGRCTGTGGAAAGAAATTGTGCGGCACAGAGAAAATAACTTGCTGTCATCTGGTGGGACAATGTCTGTCTCACCGCAGTCTCTTTCACAGTCATCTACTAACAACAATAATTATACCTTTGATGCACTGCACTCAAGTCGCCATATGAACAATCACATTAACAATAACTATGTATAGCAGTAATAATAATGCTCCATATGTTACACTTATAAGTTACCCATCACCATTTRTTCAAATAAAAATATGAATAAATAGGTAATGTTTTTTTTTTGTATATTTATTACAGAGTTTACATAATAACAAATTGAAAATTGTTAATGGAATAATTTATTCTAATTATATACATAATATTATTATAACCACTATGTGCAATGTCCTTATTATTATTATATTAATATAAACAATATAGTATTTTTTGTTATTTAAATGTGTGTTAAATTTTACATCTTTAATTAGAATATCAGACAAAAATAAAATACTTCAATCATCAACTTCAGTGACACAGGTAATTTATTTTAAATGACTGTATAAAAACTAAATTTTCTTCGTCTCTTGAAGTGTGTTTGGGATAACTCAAATAATAAAAATTAAAAAGTCAATTTTATGTTTGTTCCCCTTGAGATTTGAATTACTGAGACTTGACTGTAGTTCAGTGATGTAATTATGATTTTGTTCAAGGGTGTTTTAAAAATGTATAATTATAAGTATGACAAAAGTAAAAAAAAGTATATTTATTATGTATTTGTCATTCAGATGATTTTACATTGTGTTTATTCTCTAAGCAATTGATAACCTTAAATTGAAAAGTTTTTTTTTATTCATGATTATATAATATATAAATATTTGTTTGAACTATTGTCCAATATATGAAAAATATACAAACATTGAAATTCAATGTTTTTTGTACAAATCTAGAACACTGTACGTGATTATAGAATGACTAAAATTTAACCATAGAACTTATAAAATATTTTTAAGAAAAATAGACTTATTTATAAGGATATTTTGTATTACTAACACAAAGAAAATTTTGATCTATAAATGGGGTTACTTATWATTAACTTTGGTATTGATATAATTTAACTGTTTCCATATTGCATATAACTCCATAACTTAGAACACTGAATAGAAAATAATATTTAGATAATTTGATTTTACTAACATATTTTGTTATTGGTATATACCTTYATAAAATATTTGAGTTATAAAACATATYATCAATACATTTATATAATGAGAACATAGATAATAACTACTAAACTACATACTATTGTATATAAGTTAATTTATTTTCACGATTGTTATCTTCTTTCTAATATTCTAAAAAATTATTGAAAAAAAAATATATATAAATAAATAGGCCACTTGACCATACATACTATCATAACATTAAATTAATCTTAACAACTATGTCCAAACCAGCTATTTCACCTCTTAAGAGGGCTATGAATTTATGCATTAAAAGACATGAATTAAAAATGTCCAAGTAAACAAAACAATTTCAATTATGAACATTTAAAACATTGGAAGGTAATAAGTAATAAACTAAATGCAAAAAATATTAGATATGTTTACCAATTTAAGTATTATACTAAAGACTAAACCCTAAGTAAATTAACGATCAAATCCCAAAAATTGTACATAGATGTTTGTTTAGATCYCTTATATTATAAGAAAACACATCACAACTTGATATTCCTACCACACCACTTAGGAACAAAATTAT